CGTGGTACATTAGATTGGCCAATGCCAGATACATTGCTTGAAAAATGATCAAAATGTTTAAAATCTTCAAAACCGAAACCTGTTTTTTCAGTTGGTTTGTAATGATAATAATTTCATTGAAAAATTTACAACATAAAAAAACATTTTTTTTGTTTGTTAATATATTAATTACTTTATGGAATGTTCCCCTGGAGATAGATGATCTACTCTTAGATGAAAATTTGTAAAATTTTTTATATATGTCTGATTGTTATGATCGTTTTCCTTTCTTTTTCTTTTTTCTTTTTCTTTAATTAATAATTTTAATAATAACTATGAATAATTACGCATAATGCTTCAATTGTCGTAAAAAGCACACTAGTAAATTATTTAATTACTATTTCATTAGTTAATGATAAATAAAATTTGTGTTGTTTTTTTATTGTTAATAATTCATATAAATATTGGTATACTAAGCTGTTTAGAAATCAATAATTACTCTATGCAATAAAATTTTTAAATTGAATCAAAATCGTACAATTTAAAAATTAAAAAAGTAATTCATCTCTACTTTAAAAAAAATTTAAAGATAATAATTTTAATTTGAAAAAATGGCCAATTTCAATCTTCGTTCATGTTTAAATCGACAAGCGAAATTGGAATTTAATGACATGTTTCATGAAGTAATTTATGAACAAATCGAATTTGAATTTAATTTCGCTCACCGTCAACGTGAGCGACAAAAACGACAACACGATATCGATCGTGAAAATGTCGAAATAGAAAGATTGCAGCGACAATTTCCTGATCAACCGCTGTCAATCGATATTATTTTTGATATCAATGTCGATAACATTGATAACAATGATCAAAATAATCAGGGTAATGATCAAAATGATCAAAATCCCATTGATGATGAAATTGATGAATATTGGAGACGTCGTAATCTCCGATACCAAGAACAACAACAAGCAATTGATGCATTTAATGCACAACTGCAACAACAAGGGAATCAAGAGATTCCATTTGAAGTAATCGATGAACAGATTCCAGAAGTGGATGAAAATAATAATAACATATATTGACGGATATTTATATATAATAAATTGAATAAAGTTTTTAATATTTTGATCAAAATCTTTTTTATCTTATTTATTTTTCTTCAATAAGAAAATGTACATATTCTGTGCTTATATGTTTACGTCACCTATATTTATCAATAATCGCAAAAACGCGGTTGATCGCGAAAATGAAGTGATATTTCGTTTGCAGCAACAACAGCCAAATCGACCGCTTCCAATTGACTAGATTTTTGACATTGATGTCGAAAATATTCCAAATGATAACAAAACCGAACAAAATACTGCAACAACAATGCCCGAAAATCATGATTTGGTTAATGATCTTCTTGAAGAAGATATTATTAACCAATATCAACAACGTAATCCACGTCGCGGTGTTAATATTCAACAGATGAACGACGATCTCAAAGAATTTCGTCGTCAAAATTTCATTGAAGAAAATTCAAGAACCAGCTCTGGCTGGATAAAAAAAAATCATTCTTTTTATTTTTCAAAATAAATTTTTCAAATTAACGGTGTGTGTGATCATGAATCATGATTTGGAGGAATTTAGGAGATTGAATTTTACTCACCCGGTTCCAATCGAACAAAGGGAAAAATAATAATAATAATTTTAAAAATTTATCAGCATTTCTGTGATTCTAATCTTACTTATTCATCTGAAAAATGTTTTTAAATTTAATAAAATTGGTTAAACATTGTTTCAAACTATATTGTAATGCAATCACTTGAATTAATTTATTATTATTGTTATAATTCATATAAATATTGGCATACTATGCTGTATAAAAAGCGTCTTAAACTCTAAAAACCTTTATTTTTAATAAAACTACAACTATCGAATCAATCTAAAATCTCATAATTTAAAAATTCTTTTTAAATTTTTTCATTAAAAATTCATCTTATTTCAAAATGGGAATTCAAAGATGTAATCCCGACGAAAATGATGGAAGTAATGAAATGGAGCGACAAGAAGATCAAGATGAAATACAATTTCAACTTGAAGTTGCTGCGTTTCAATTACAACGCCAACGCCGTGATAATCGACGGCAGCAACAGATTGACCGTATGAACGGTCAAATTCTACAAATTCGACAACAACAGCCAAATCAGATCATACCAGTTGATGCTGTTGATCAACTTGCTGACCAAAATAATAATAATGTTGATCCAAATACCAATAATCAGCAAAATACCAATCAACAAAATAGCAATAATCAACCGAATAGTAATCAGCAGAATAACAATAATAACCGAAATTGAATATATTTCAATTACAAAATGCTGAATAAATTTTTTATAAAATTTTTTAAAATTAATTTTTTGCTAAAATTTTCTTTGTGAATTTAATCAACGCCAACGTATTCGGAAACAAAACCCGAATTTGCCTATGTCATTAGAAGTGATTATGGCTTTGCATGATTCTTCTCCTGACTAATTCCTTTCGAATCAATACAATTTCAATATATTTAATCAATTTTGCAGTTGCTATTTTTCTCAAAAATTAACTGTTAATTATTTTTTTTTTCATTTCTTAAATTTGTTTGCATTAATACTATTAGCAATGTGCGTAAATAAAAGCTTATCATTATTATTATGGCTTTGCATGAGAATAATAATAACAATTAGTAGAATCAACAAGTAATATTGACGTAACGGAACGAAATCAAACACAAAAACTTTGTACATCAACAGAGGCATTGCAAAAACAATATAGGTAATAATCAAATTAGATTTACTTTTTATTTTTACGATGAATAACTAAACAATCATTAAATCGATAAAACAATTACTTAAATTGATTAACTTGAGTTTTTTTATTTTTATAATTCATATAAATATCAACATGCTAAACTATTATGAAAACATTGAATCTTTATTCACTCCCTTATTGAGATTGAATCAAAACTATTGTAGGATTTGAAAAATTATTCGTTAGTGACAACAATTTCCATCGTAAAAATGTGTATTTTCCGTCAAAATAGGCATTATGATTTAGATAATGTAGAATTTGAACGAATAAATCGCCAAATAGAATTGGCGTTCAATGCTTTAATTGAAGAAATTATTCGTGATGATGACGAATTTGAACTTGATGATGAAGATGAAATTGTAGAAAATGGTCATGATGATGGTGATGATAATGATGATATGAATGATAATAATGATAATAATATAATGGATGATAATAATATAATTAATGATAATAATATAATCAATGATAATAATATAATAGATGATAATAATATAATCGATGATGATGAAGTGGCCAATTATCAGATGGAACAACTTTGCAGATATTATCAACGACAACAAGAATTAGATCAACTTAATGCTCGGCTTCAACCGAGAATTAATGAACCAATTCCTTTCGATATCATCGATGCTATGGACGTCGATGAATAATGTCGATTTTATATAAACTACTACTTATTAAAATGCAAAAATAGAATAAAGTTTTCATCGTTTTTATCAAATTTTTTCTCAATTATTTTTTTTTCTGCAAAATATTTAACTTGCATTATGCGCTGAATGTTATCGTTTCCACTATTGTAGAGGATCTGATAACGTGGACGTTAAAAATTCGTGCCAAAGCAGACCGGAATAGATATGAATAAAATGGATAGAATAAAAAATAAATCAATATAACCATATTCAACCACGTCAAAATCAGTCGTCCCATTCGAAGTGATCGATTCTTTGGATTCAGATGTTGATGAGAATAATAATGTAGCAGATCAAAAGAATTATGCAAGATAAAACAATTAGGCTGACAATTGAAGATTTAGTTTTTTATGTTTTTTATTAAAATTTTTTCGCAATTATTTTTTTTTTCTTTACAAAATCATTTGCAAAATAATTCTCAAAATTCATTACGAAAATGTACATAAGCCGTGCGATTACTACGTCAATAATCGAGAATGTACAACACAAATCTTCAACAAATGTTTCTTGAAGAATCTGAATTTGAACACAACTTTGTTCATCGTCAATCGTTTTTCGTTAAATTTTCTTATCTCTTTCATCATTTGTCGTCAACGTGAGCAAGAAGAACGCCAGAACACGATCAATCGTGATAACGGAGAAATTCAGCTATCAACCGCTGTCAATCGACGATATATTTGATATCAATGTCGATAACATTGATAATAATAATCATGATAATCAGGATAACGATCAAAATGATGATCAAAATCCTATCGATGAAGAAGAAATAGATGATTATTGGAGACGTCGTAATCTCCGATATCAGGNTAAATGCGTCAATGATTATGTTTATCGCACGGTTGAAAATCCTGAATCTGTTTGGGATTTTGCGGGTCGCATTACCGACCAGCCACATCAACCGTTTGTTGTACAACCAATTTCTATCGATACACGTGACGCGGCCCGTTCGATTTCTGATCACGACACGGTGGTCAACAAATTAGGCAAAGCTAACAACATCATGTCTATCGCTTCGTGTCTTGTTTCATTGTCGCGTTTCGATGTTGCTCATCGCGATGCCATATTGAATCGTATCGATCATTGTATTAGTGGTCCGACACTAAATTCGACCATTTATTCTGTTCTTCGTCGTTTGATTGACAAACCGATTTGTAACCAACCAATAACAAACAATGTTAGTATCGAAGCTGAATGTGTCGTACTTCGTCACGTAGCGTATAACATCCATCCAGAACAATTGCTACGTACCATGGCTAACGGGCCTACTAAAGTGGCTTTTGTCACAATGCATTACATGCCCGCTATTGAAATCTGCGATTCCGTAACCGACAAGATCACCAACCATATTTTGAAGCGAGATGGGAAAAATATTATTGGAATGTTTCGATCGGATTTTTCGAATTGTTATCGAACCAGTTTAAATAATTATCTCGCTTGGATTCATTTGCCTGCAAGCATCACTGTCGATGATGTAAATTTCTACTGTGAAATGAAAATGATGGTTAATTCATTGGTGCTTTTCTCCATCCAAAAGGTAAATGCTCCTCGCAGTGATCTTCCCCGTCCTTTGTACGGAAATACTGATACACTTATCGTAAGTCTTCAACCTCGACCTAATCAACCGATCCCATTCGAAGTGATCGATTCTTTTGATTCAGATGTTGATGAGAATAATAATGTAGCAGATCAAGAGAATTATGCAAATTATTTATTTTTCTTTACAAAACCATATACAAAATAATTCTCAAAATTCACATATGCCGTGCGATTACTACGTCAATAATCGCGAATGTACAACACAAATCATCAACAAATGTTTCTTGAAGAATCTGAATTTGAACACAACTTCGTTCATCGTCAATCGTTTTTCGTCAAATTTTCTTATCTCTTTCATCGTTTGTCGTCAACGTGAGCAAGATGAACGCCAGAACGCGATCGATCGTGAAAACGGAGAAATTCAGCTATCAACCGCTATCAATCGACGATATATTTGATATCAATGTCGATAACATTGATAATAATAATCATGATAACCAGGATAATGATCAAAATAATGATCAGAATCCTATTGATGAAGCAGAAATAGATGATTATTGGAGACGTCGTAATCTCCGATATCAGGAACAGCGACAGGCAATTGATGCATTTAATTCACAACTACATGTTCTATCTATGCCATAATTATCAAGAGATTCCATTTGAAATAATCGATGATCAGAATCCAGACGTCGATGAAAATAATTTATTATAGCACTGACGAAGCAAATTGCGATGATCCAGCAGATGCGGCAAATTTTCCTATTAAGTTTATGAATACACTCAACCCTTCTGGAATGCCACCTCATGCGGTGGCAAAACTTAAGATGAATACTATAGTAATTCTTTTAAGAAACCTGGAAATCCGTCTCTTAGTAACGGATTTGAGACAAAATATTATTTTTGCTAAAATCCTTACTGGAAGTGGTAAAGAATTCATCCCTGCATTTTATAAATTAATTAGTAAAAAGTTTAATTTAATCAACAACAATGATCAATAATGTTTCAATTACATTTATTTGACTTTTGACCATATTAATGATTTTTCAGATAATTAAAAACAATTATTGATTGAAAATGCAATTAATTAATGGTTATTGTTATTATTCATATAAATATTGGCACA